CGGGTATTAACACTTAAAAGCATCACCTTAAACAGAGAACAATTGGTACTTTTTTGGCAGTTATCCAGTAGAAGGAAAGAAATATCCTTTTAGCTCGCAATTGGCCATTTTACTACATAAATATTTGCCACCATAAGAAAAATACACGAAAATGCCACATGATTTGGAAGAACCCGTTTGTCATCTGGATGACGAAAAATCGTGGCATTTCGCACTGTGATTTACATGAGCTGGCTCATTCCTCACGCGTCCATCTCCATCTCCATCCGGCTCCATCTGCAGCTCCGGCTCCAGCTCCTGTTCCAGGGGCAAGTCAACGTCAATGCTTTTGCTGCTGCTGCTGACACGTGATAAAACGCTTCTCCAGCGCCCAAACGGCCGCCCACTTGCCCAACCATCTCCCCATCACCCCCCATCTCCTGTGGCAGGCGGTACCGTGTAGGTGAACAGGGCACAAGGCATTAACATTTACATGGCGCACGCACACCCTTGTCCAGGTGGAGCAAGCCGGAGGAGGGCCATGTTGAATGTCGGGAGAAACAAAAGGCCAAAACTTTGGCACTGCTTTTGACGAGAGCAGGGCATTCGCATCCCCACACCCAGACCCACAGACCCAGACCACCACGCTTATCCCACACATGCATCCTCACACAGTTATCCATCCATTCACGAAGTGGTAATGTGTGGTCCAGCTGTGGGGGTGGATAAGGCGGTACCGCCTCAAGGAACCAAACGGAAACTCTGTTACGGACGCTCCTGGATCTCGGCCTGGGGTCGGACGTTGCCATTAACGTTTCTATTGTGAGCTCTTGGCCCCAGTGAAATAAATAAAATTCGACAGTTGCGACGGACATCTTCAGACACCTCCACACAAAGTCCCCAATCCCTAACTTTCCGAAGTGAAAACTGGTACACTCGAAAAACTATTGGTAATTGTAAAAAAGTTATGTGGACCATATTTGTGCATAACTTATGAAAGATCATTTTATTTACTATTTATATGTTACACATAAATTTTAATATAACCCATTTAATTTATATGTAGTTCTATAATAAATATGTTTAAAAATAACACTTAAATAATAATATGTGTTAAGAAAATTGTTATCAGGCTGTGATTACTATCAGACCTTCATATGGCAGTTTTAGATTATTATAGATCAACACCGTCTTTTCTTATTACTATTATTCTTAACTTATTACCAGACGGACTTGTAACTTGGAGGGTATACTAAGCAACAACTCCAAAAAAAATAAAAATTTGATTCTCTTGAGGGATTTAACAATTTTAAATACTTCATTTTTTAATTTTCAACTTATAGCTCATACGCAGTGTAGGCTGTCTTTTTTGATACATGTTACCATAAGAAACATTAAGCCTAATCACCTTTGTTTTTTGTTTAAGCAGAGTAGTATGTTTTTTTTTAATATAACCGTAAAGTCTGGAATAGACTGACACTTTTTTTTTAAATAACCAAACGTTTTGTTTAATTGTTTAAATAACCCAATTATTTTCTAGTTAGTACTTTTTCTTGTCAGTTATAAAAATTAGCTTAAACCCAACAAAATACTATTCACAAAATTGTAGTTGACCTTCAATTCGCATAAAAATATTCTCAGTGAAGTGGTAGTATTGTGGCTTTCAAATTTTAGCCAGACGCGATAGCCCTGGGAGCCGGGTAGGCTGGGCGGGACCAGAGAACCGACACCTACCAGTGGGTGCTGCTCCTCGGCGTATTTATCTATTCAAACTCACAAAAAGTAATTCGAACACCCGGCAGGGGCAGAGGGTGACTGCTTCAATGCAGCTAACGATGTAGGGACAACACCAGAAACAGAACTGCAGATGGAGATGGAGATGAAGCCGAGTTCCCGGCAATGGACTCTAGTGTAAGTTGATTCCGTGATTTTTGGGGGAAAAGTTTTCCGGGGACTCGCTCTGGCACTCGCCCTGCTCGTCGCTGCTGCATTTTGAGCTTTTATTATGTTTTTGGGGCGGCCCTCCGCCTCGTGGTGGTTCAAAGTTGATGCTGCAGCGGAGTTTGGGAGCTGGTTGGCTGGAAAAACGAAGAAAAGTGCAGACTTTTCAATGTTGTGCACAAAAGCGCCGGCATGGACACGAATGTAAGGTCGCTGTTCAGGGCTCGGGGATCAGGTTGGGGCCTGTACTCGGACGGGGGCTAGGGTATCGGGTTCCTGGACGAATGGTTAGACGCTTGGCTGGCTACAAACAAATAGGCAAACCGACCAACTGACAGAGCAACCAACCAACAGACAGACGTACCGGCGGACAGACTGGCGGCCAGACGGAGAGACTGATACAAGGAATCGAGTTTGCGGAGCTCTTGCAACATGCATTAGATTGGCAGTTGGGGATTTACTTGTAAAATGCAAATGCAATGAATGTACAATTTAGAAATTTTTACACCAAAAAATGGTAGACTCGACGGAACCGACATCGCAGATGGGGGTGAACCTGGAGCTCGCCTTGGCGGCCCCTGTTCGAGGTTTTGTTCGCATCCATTGAGCTGCACAGCAGATTGGGGCCCGAATGGGGCCGGAAGGGTCAGGAGAGTCAGGAGGGGTGCTGGAGCCGTCAGTCTGTTTTCGGGGTTCATTTCAAATGCAAGCCGTTGTTTTGTCTGAATTGCTCGTAATCTATGCTAATGAAATTGTTTTTGGTTTCGGTTTTTAAAACAAATTTTAACTCCGAAGCAGCCCCGGAAAAACTTCTCGCATAACAGCCACTGCAGTGCCAACTGCAAGTAACAAAAGCGATTCCTGCAACGATAAATAAACAGGATATACTTTTTCCCAGCTCGTCCTACTTGAAAGTACAAAGGGTAATCCATTTAAATTAATAAACAAATCTGTATCTGAACTTGACTTCACGTGCTTTTTAATATTTACAGCTTTTTTGGGTTCCCTCTGCGAGTTTGAAAAGTGAGTGATTTAGGTGTTTATTAAACTCTAAGTAGTTTTCTTGTTTTAATAATAAATGTCCATGTTATAATAACAAATTAGAGGCGGGAGCTGTCCTGCTACATTTACCATTTATGTATTAGCCATAATCTGAGCACATCCTTAAGCCTGGAGTGATTGGACAACGACTTGGTCCGCCAGCCCCACCTCCCCATCTGAAGCCGCAAGGATTGTCGTAGTGGCATGTGGCATTGTTGATTACATTGTGGTGGGCATCCTTGTTGGTACTGCAGAATGTTTTGTTGTCTGAGACGTTATTACAGTTGTTATTGGTGGCTGGCAGCTCCGGGCCGCTGCAAAGGATACGTAAAAGTTTCTCAAAAAAATTCTGCGTACTTGACGGCGACGACTTCCGCTGCAACTTGCAATGGTGTCTGCTGCTGATGCTTTTATTTATTTGCCATCACTGCCCCGCCAGCGGCCCCGCCACAACTTACGGCCGACTCTTCGCAGGAGCGCCAATAGTTTCTCCCTGCTCGTGAGGTCCGGAAGGATGCGAGGTGCACGAGAACCATGCCTTCCCTCTTAAATATTGCGCCCCAGGGCCCCCCAGGTTGGAGACCGAGCTCGCAAGTTCTGCGACCGGCCGGCTGTCGCAACGCAGCATTACAGTGATTACGCTCTGTAAAACTTACGGTTTTATTGTAAGTTCCCTCGTACGCCGTACTCAGATGGAGGGCTCTGCACTTGACAAAATTAAAACCAAAAATAATTTAAAATATTATCTAAAGAGTGGCAAATTCAGTTCCAATCATCTTATTTCATGTCCAGATAATATATACTTGTTATAAAATAGCTTCTTTAAAGACCTTCTCTTCTAAAACCATTTTATAACGTAATTCTTCCATATTTTCTTACTCACATACCTTTTATTCACTAAGGTATTTTCTGTCTATGAGTTTTTTTCCGAGTGCATCCAATAACCCTGTGTGGGTGACGAACTTTTGTAAATTGCCTGCGCGAGAACTTGGTGGTAAACTTGAAAAGCGCAGCTCGCAAAACAGGAACTCTGCGGGGCGGCTATTCGGCAGCAGAACTATCCCGATCAGAAGTGGCATTACCAAATCAAGCAGAGCACGTAATGAATCAGTCACAGCGATTAACTTTAACAGCAGCCGTGTGCAGGCGAATTACAACCGACTCTGGGAAGGATTCAACTGACAGACTCCATCGAACGGAGACATGGGTAATTTGTATCTCTGGCAATCCACGGGACGAAAATTTTAAAATCATAGTCCTCGAAAGTAGAACCTAGTAGAACCCTTCTAAAGGGGTACAAAGGTATAAAGAGCATCGGCATTGTGTAAAGATATAGGTGAGATAAAAGAGCTAATATTTAAGCTTATTATATTTTGTTTATGTTATTTGATAACCAAATTGAATAAAAAGTTGGATAAATTCGCCCAAAAATTGAATCTTAAGAAAACTTAAAAAGTTTTTTGAAACAGATGCCAGATTATTTAAAATGCTGATGTCGAAAATGCTTCCAACCGGGCGATTTTTGACCAGTTATATGAGTTGCATTGTGCTTTCTCACTGTCTAGTTTCAATGAGTTTCCAATTCTTGTAAACTTTTGCAACCAAGCTTTGTTCTAAGAATCTGTTTTTCAAAAAAAGTTTCGTTAGGTTAAAGATAAATTTTATAGGAAAGGAGTGGAGAGGCCGATAGCGTCCACTCTATTCAAGAAACTCGACTGTACCCGTCCATACTTGGTGTACTCGAATAAATGAACTTCTCATCCTGTGCCACATGCAAGGCCTCTGGGCAACAACTATAACATGCCAAAACAGGAAATTAGGCCAACAGAAACAGAAGTGAGCTTATTGTTAAATAGTTCATTTATTAGTAAAAATATAATTGCATTTGATTTGTATATTTAAGTATATTGTTTGTATAATTTTAATTAACAAATATTGCAGCAAATTTCATCTACTAAATAATGGATTACGTTACGTATGTATCATACGGTTTTACGGATTTGTATTTTACCTGCCGGCGCCGCTTCGTTGTTTGCGAGGAGGATTGGCTCTGTCCCACCTCCTCTTCGGCTTGCAGTCCGGCTCTCCTCCGCCCTGTGAGAGTGTGTACGTTCGCTTACAATTAACGGAAAATTTCAACAAGTTACAGCAACATAACGCTTTTCATCACGAATTTACAAAAGACATGCACATAAAGTACGTATTGCGTATTACGTCCTAGATCTGAGCAGGGAGACTGCTTACATGACACGGCATCCCTCCCGCTCCCGGCTATTCTGCCGGGGCAACTGCCGCTGTGTCGGGGTGGACTGGGCAGTTCCGCCGCCTGCCGCCGGCACGTTTCCGTTCGACTCGAGGCTGGCGTGTCGCGTCAGTCTCTGGTGATTTGGCCGCAAGTCCGCCACCGACCACTGGTTGGCGTTCACTTGCTGCGCCGCCCGATTTGGCACAAAATCATCCACTTCATCTTCATTGAGGCCGGTGCCAGAGTCCGCGCCCTGATCACTACTCGTACTGGTTTCACGTAGCGGCGCACAGGAGACGTCGCCCAGGGATTGGATGTACTGCTCCAGAAGATAGATGTGCGGCTGAAGGGTTAGCACAAATCCTCGGTAGAGAGACCCGCTGTGCTCGAAGGTGCTCTGACTCAGTTGCTTCAGAGCAGCTTCCATTCGCCGACAGGTGAGGACCGACTCGCTCCGGATGATCCCATTTACGATGCGGGAAATGGAAGCGGCATCCTGGAGCAAGATCGAGAGCACCAGGGCGTAGTCCGTACAGTTTGCCTCGATGAATAGCTGCAGCAAGTAACGCAGCTTAATGGACAGCTTTTCGGGCAGCGGATTCACGGCAAGGTCGTCTTCAGAAGCAGGCAGCGAATAGAGTCGTCGGTATCGGAAGTTGTCGAACGAGAGCTGCGATCCGGAACGCGTCTTCAGCACGGGAAGCGAGCTAGGCTGCTGCAGGTCCTCCTCCTCTTCCTTAATACTTGGCTGCAGCTGCGGGGACTGCGTTGCCGCCCCATTGGGAGTGGCTAGACTGAAATAGCCCGACTCCGAGGTCTGCGACGATCCCGCTCCGCCCGCCTGTCGGCTGCCGCGGAGCTGGTCGAAGTCATCCTTAGAGGGAGGCGGGAAGGGTATTGGAAGCTGCAGTTCTTCGTGCAGCGTTTGCAGAGCTCGTGCGAAGTCCTCTAGCTTGGCGGCACGCTCCACCTCCTGCGAAAGCCAGGTGACCAGATGAAAGTCCAGGTAGGCGCACATGTGGCCCAGATCTATCAGCTTGTGGTTCTGCAGCAGTTGGCGAGCATGTCTCTGAAGGATCAGGTCGATGCAGAAAATTTCCCGCTGCTTGGTGGATCGGCGGCGCACCACTGTGGGTGCGCCCGAACTGCTCGTTTCTGTCGCTGGAGTCGCTCCCGTAGTCGGCGTCTGCTTGTCCTTCGGCAAGTTGCTAGTCACCGTTGTGGAGAAGCTGCGCTCCCTCGCAATGGGACCCAATACCATGTTGAATGCGTCCGCATTCTGGTTCACTTGCTGCTGTTGGCTAACCTGCGGGGGAGGTGCGATCTTCACGTTCACCACCATTGAGGAGCGCGGCGAGTCAATCTCGTTGGGATCGATGGCCTTCAGGAATCGAATCAGATCCTTGGCTAACTCCCATTTGCGCTGCTGCAACGCGATGTCCAGCAGCATGGTGGCGTACTGCTTGCTAACCACGGAGGGCTCCAGGTTCTGCAGGATTATTAGGTAGCTGGCAGCGGTGTCCAGTTGCTCGGACTGCAGGCAAAGCTGGAACAGCTCTTTGGGCTTGCCTGCCATCGAGAAGAGGTACGGCCAAAGGGCGATTTCCGTCTTGCGAGCACATTGGACAATGGTCTCCAAATAGACTGGAAACTCCCGAATAAAATCTAGCACGCTGGGCAGCTGGGCGTCTGGAATTGGCTGTTTGCTTGTTGCCTCCTCTTCAAGCACCTCGTGCAGGAGCAGCTCCAGAGCATGGGGGAAGTAGGGAAGCGATCGACAGGACTGAGCGATCTCCCACGCCGAGTAGCCGAGATTCCGTTTAATTAGCTGGCGCAGAACCTTGTGGAGGTAGACCTGCGACTTGCGTTCCATGAGGGCGAATGGAAGCGAGAAGTGAGAGCCCTGCTCGCTGGCATACAAAGTGCTCTCGTTCTCCACGCCGAGGACGATTACGTTGTCGAAGAGCACGACCAAAGGGTAAAGCTTCAACGGAAATCCCAGCATGATCCGCTTGGACATAAAGCTGTGTAGTCGTTGAGCTCCAACCTGATCGCCCTCACGTCGCTCTCTGCCGGGCGGCAGAATAGGCAACCACACTCGCATTCCGTGTGCTCCCGAATAGAGCCACAGACAGTCGCGCATCGCGCAGCGCTCCAGGGAGTGGGAAAGCCAAAATACCTCCACGCAACTGGCTAAGCAGGTGGCCAGGAGAGTGTTGGGAACCTGTTTCAGTTAAGGAAATATATTATTCAACTGGCACATGCAGATACTTGGAACATGACTTACCTGTTCGCTGGAATCACGCTGGATCATCAGGATGCGACCGCACACATTCACGATGATCGTCTCGGCCTGTTCCGCACCCGTCGGAAGCTGGCCTTGCGGCTTAAACTCGTTCCTGAGATTCGTCACCGTAAGACTCACAATGCAGGCCGGATGGATGCAGATGCTCTTTACATCCAGCTCATAGGCACACTCGATGTCAAGGGCGTATGCCGACTTTTTAGTCATATTAAAGAGACTAACTATACCGTCGGCAGTGAGCACGATCAGCTGGTGCCGGAACGAGTTCAGACTGATAACCGGTGCGCGCACCTGCACCTTGTGGCCGAACTGGTTGTCCAACTTGCACTCCGCCGGGTAGCAGCGCAGTTCATCCGTTCGATCCAGAAGGGAGTAGCAGCCCATGACCACAAAACCTTGCCACCAAAGGAGGCCGCCGGACACCACGAAGTCCTTCTCCTGGGACTCGTTGCCAAATAACTTCCACCTGCGGGACACCAGTGAGTAATGGGCGAGACCAGTGCGCCCAGCCACCGCCAAGTGCAGTCCCTCCTGGTCGATCGCGGCGTATCGAATGGGCCAGTTGGTTGCCGCATAGTTCAGCGGCAGTTGGAGCACCGTCCAGTACTTGCTCTCGGTGAGAATGCTTCCAGTGTGGGGACTCTGCTTAAGCTCCAAGCAGTCATCATCCGTAGCCTGTTCTGCCCCTGAGCCGCTCGAAGGAAATGTGGCCTGGCTGCCGGCGTACGTCCTCTCTAGGTTATTGCCCTGGTTGAGGTACAAGCAATCTTCTCCCTGTAGCAGGATGTGGGGGTTGGCCGTCATACACGGGTTCATACTAAGCGCGCTCTTCACAAATTGCAGCTGCAGAACATTGCTCTGGTTTTTTTCGGTTTCTTCCTGCCCTTCTGACGGCTTCTGCGTGAGCATAAATAGCTGGTAGCCCTCAGTGGACCATTCCAGGCGACGCAGCTTAAGTGGATTGTGCCGCAACAGATCTACATTAAGACCAAAGTCCCAGCTCTGAGTGGACATCAAAAGCGCGCCAAAGGTGCTCCACAGCGACAAACCACCGTTTTTCCAGCTCACTGCCAGCACGCAGCCGTCGGGACTCCACTTTAGCTCGTTGACAGCTCCAAGGCTGTCCGGCAACACGTTCTCGGTAAGCATAAGGCGGTGGGAAAACTCCAAGCCGCCAGTGGCATCATCTATAGCGTACACATGAACTGCAGAGCTTTCCTGCCCGTATGCCAGTAGCCGGAACTTGTGGTTAACACTGCATACACTCGCGTCTTCTACGTCAGGTACCCAAAATCCGTGCATGTGGGTGGTGTCGAAGCGCAGATGGCTGGCGACAAGAAAGGCAGCGCGACGATCACTGAAAACGGCTGCGCACCCTCCAATAAAAGGTGAGTACTCCAAGGAAGCCACATACGAATCTCTTCCCATTGGTGGCACATTACGGGCTGTTGCTTGATGCGGCTGTTGCTGGACGTAGAAAGGAATCTCGCGCAACTGGATGGCGGACAAGGCAGGCAACTGTATTTCATTGTCCGCCAGCTCTAGCTGCGCCCACTGCAGACGCAGGAGCTCACAGGACTGCGTGGCTAGAAGTAGTTCGCTCAGGCTAATGCAACACACCGCCGTTATAACGGACCCAAGAGTCACGCAGCAGACCTCGCGCAGGCTCAACCGTGGAATGTTCTCCTTGATGAACAGCTCCGCCGAGTCCCGCTTCAGACTTGCCGCGGGAGGGTCGACCTGTTGTAGGATCCCACTTCCATTGGCGTCGAAATCTAGCTGATACAGGAGGAGGGCGCCTGCGGCCGTAAGTATAACTAGCTGACGAGAGTCGGGTTTCCACACGACTAGTTGGCTCGGGCCATACTGCTGGAGGGAGTCTGTCGAGCGCCGAAAGTATGCGATTGGGATGAGCGGGCTCGCGTACCAGATACCCAGGAAATCGTCTCCCACGGCGGCCACGAGTATTTTGACGGCATCACAGCAGATATGTCGTATGCTTGCACTTTCGCCGGGCAGTGCCAGGCTCACCCGCTTGGGCCATCCTACTGGAAAGTACATCCTCCGAGTGAATAGTTACTGCGCTGCGGAGAAATGCATTAGGTACAGGGTGAGTGAATACGGGGTCGGGGCGCAGATTTGACTTGCCACCGAGTGGGGAAACAATTACATTTTGCTGATTATGTCCAGTTTACATGGTCTCCCTCGCTTAATTGGCACTTTTTAAAAACATTCCGCAGCACAACAAAAAATCTGCGAGATTTACGCGTATACAGTATGTGTTGGGAAACACCCAGAAATCACAGATGTTCATAGATAGGGATGACATTTTCTGCATTGATTTCTCATCCCTAGATGAACCAACTTTGGAACTGGTTCTTCTATGAATCTTTCAAACTTTGACTAATCAGGTTGCCAGACCTTCGGAATTTTCATTGGAAATCAGCAGGCACACTGTCGTCAAAACATTTGGCAGCCGGCTTTTGTAAAAAAATATACTTCAAGGATTGCAGATATTTCCGCAAGGGAGTGGCCGAATAATCCTGGACTAAGTACGACATAAACTTACAATAAAAGTATTGTTGAATTGTTTTTGAAATGACGGCATTTGAGGGTAAGTACAAGAAAATAGACAAATGGAAATACTGTTTAAAACTTCTTTCCGTAGAATTTGGTGTGCTTCCGGAGCTCGGAAAGGCCACGGATGAGTTGGACTGGACGTAAGCAAGAAAAACTTCCCACTTTCCAGTTATCTATTAACGTTAAACTGCCACCCACAGATTGCCCACCGATGTCCAGGCGGAGGCCATTCCCCTGATCCTTGGGGGCGGTGATGTACTGATGGCTGCCGAGACAGGGTCTGGTAAAACTGGAGCTTTCTGCCTGCCCATCCTCCAGATAGTCTGGGAAACGTTGCGAGATCTCGAAGAGGGAAAATCCGGGAAGAGCAGTGCCGGAGGTTCGGCTGGGGCGGTAGCTCCATGGACAATGTCCTTCTTCGACAGAGGAAATGCGCTCGCTGTAACCCCAGATGGGCTGCGTTGCCAGTCGCGTGAGTTCAAGGAATGGCACGGCTGCCGCGCCACCACAGGCGTCCACGGAAAGGGACGATTCTATTTTGAGGCCATTGTTACGGACGAGGGTCTCTGCCGTGTAGGCTGGTCCACGCAGCAGGCAAACCTGGATCTGGGTACTTGTCGCTTTGGCTTCGGGTTCGGAGGCACGGGTAAAAAGTCCAACAATAGACAGTTTGACGATTACGGCGAGAGCTTTGGCAAAGCTGATGTTATAGGCTGTCTACTGGACTTGCAACGCCTAGAAGTAAGCTTCACCAAGAACGGACAAAGCCTGGGAGTTGCTTTTCGTGTGCCAGAGAATCTTGCCAAGGAAACGTTTTATCCCGCTGTTGTGCTCAAGAACGCCGAAATGCAGTTTAATTTCGGGAAAACCGACTTTAAGTACGCTCCGGCAGGTGGATTTGTGGCTGTCTGCAAAGCGGGAGCGGAGCACATTCGTTCTAATCCCCTGGCTAGTCCGTCTTCTAGCTCTTTAAATGCCAGGCCGGCCCCTAACGCACCCCAGGCCATTATAATCGAGCCCAGCCGGGAGCTGGCCGAGCAGACCTTTAACCAGATCGAAAAGTTTAAGTACCATCTGAGCAACCCAGAAGTGCGGTCGTTGCTACTAATTGGTGGCGTGCGACTGGAGGAGCAGAAGACTGAGCTATCGAAGGGAATTCATATTGTGGTGGGCACTCCCGGAAGACTAGAAGAGCTGATCAATAGTGGCCTAGTGCTGCTGACACACTGCCGATTCTTCGTTCTGGATGAGGCAGACGCACTGCTTAAACAAGGCTACACCGAATTGATCGACCGCCTCCACAAGCAGATACCAAAGATTACGGCGGACGGCCGACGACTGCAAATGATCGTTTGTTCTGCCACGCTGCATGCCTTCGAGGTAAAAAAGATGGCCGAACGGCTGATGCACTTCCCCACATGGGTGGATTTGAAAGGGGAGGATGCCGTGCCAGAGACGGTCCACCACGTTGTCTGCATGGTCGACCCACATGCAGATTCCAGTTGGCAATCTTTACGCCAAGCCATTCGAACCGACGGGGTGCACGATAGGGACAACGTCCACCCCAGCAACCACTCGCAGGAGACGTTCTCGCAGGCGGTGAAACTTCTCAAAGGCGAGTACTGCGTCTATGCCATAGAGAAGCACCGCATGGACCGAGCAATCATCTTCTGCCGCACAAAGCAGGACTGCGACCATCTGGAGCAGTATTTAAAACAGCGTGGGGGTCAGCGCTTCTCCTGCGTCTGCCTTCACGGTGATCGCAAGCCGCAGGAGCGCAAGCAGAATCTAGAAATGTTCAAGCGGCAGCAGGTCAAGTACCTAATCTGCACGGACGTGGCAGCCCGAGGACTGGACATTACCGGATTACCCTTCAGTAAGTTGAAGACATTCATGTTCGTGTTTTTCGGATCTTAATGTGTAATGATTTTAATTTCCCTTTCTCCCCAGTGATTAACGTGACGCTGCCCGACGACAAGGCCAACTATGTGCACCGCATCGGACGAGTGGGTAGGGCCGAGCGCATGGGACTGGCCATCAGCCTCGTGGCCACCGTGCCGGAAAAGGTGTGGTACCACGGAGAGTGGTGCAAGTCCCGCGGCCGCAACTGCAGCAACACCAACCTGACCGATGTGCGAGGCTGCTGCATATGGTACAATGAGCCGAATCTGCTGGCCGAAGTGGAGGACCACCTGAACATCACTATCCAGCAGGTCGACCGCGCCATGGAGGTACCCGTGAATGACTTCGACGGCAAGGTGGTTTATGGCCAGAAGAACCTCAACACAGGCAGCGGATACGCCGATCACGTGGAGCAGCTGGTGCCCACCGTTCGAAAACTAACCGATCTGGAGCTGCAATCACAATCTTTATTTTTAAAACGCCTTAAGGTCTAGTCGGGAATTCGTCTGGAGATGGAGCTGCCTTAAAATGAGCCAGTTGGCGGGGAATACTTCTGTGGCAAACACACACGACATCTAGGCAGGAAATCCGAGCAGTGGCTTCGGAGAACACACGATATAGCATTACAAGTAAACATTTAATTAAATTAACTCTAATATCTTCTTTCTAAGCCTCGGGTGGAAGTCGGGTGGTTTTTTCCTACTCCTCCTCCTCCTCTTCCTCGTCTTCTTCGTGGAACTCTGTTCGCATTTGCTGCAACTGTCTGAGCTGCTGGCACAGCTGGTTGCCGAAGGACTCTACGTACCGGGGGCTAATCTTGTCCAGCAGGGCGTAGGGCGTCTCGAAGATCTCTTCCTCCTCTTCGTCTTGCTTGTCAGCTTCTCCGTTGCGCAGCAGAGCGGACACCCGCGGGTCCTCGTCGATGGTGTCGTACTGCGAGGAGACAATCTTGAAGCCGCGACTGGTCACCTGCACGCAGCAAGTGGCGCTCTCGATGGTGCGAATGTTTAAATAGATCTGTGTGGCGTCACTGGCCAGTTTTGAGGAAACGCAAATCTCGGCGACGTGGGCCTTCACGTCCTGGATGATGGCATTGGCTTCGTCCAGGCAGTTGAACGCTTGCTCGTCCCCGGACTCTGTGCTTTCCCTCGGCTCGCCCATTTTATCAGGTCGCAGTGGCCCGTAGTGGAATGCTTCGGCTCGCCTTGAATTTGAGTCCGGTTCGAGGTGATTTTTCTCCCAGTTCACAGGCGCAACATGTCTTCGAGTCCCCATATGTGACAGCAGCTGCCTGACGCGTTAGTACATTTCTAAAGCTGAGGGGTGTTCCGATTTTCGCCCAAAAACCAGGGGATTTTATTATCAAAGCACTAGTGATTGGCCAATAGGTTAGATTAAAAAATAATTCCAAATTAAAATAATTTCATTAAAAAAAGGAGGACAATATTTAATAAATTAGAGAGTCGAAAGCTTTTGAAAATCTTTTGTTTAAAGGAGCGAAATTAAGAGCTTTAGCTTAAGCTTAAATAAGAAACACAGTATGTTCGATATAAAAGAATTAACAATGTGAATAAAAAACAATGAAAAAAATCAATTTCACTTATTTTGAAAGCTCAGAGCCCTAATTAAAATTAGTGAAGTTTACAGGAAGTAACTGAATATAAAAAAAAAAAAATAATTAAAATTTAGCTTCGTCTCGGTTTTATATAAAAAAACAACTTCCAAAAAATTATTTATTAAAATTACTTATTGTCTAAAAGTGATATATTTTTGATTTATTGATATATTTTAAGTACTTTTAATCAAAAATCGATTTCTACCAATTTGCGAGAATCTAGAAACGATTTAAACTTAGAAATAATCGGATATGGATTTGGATGAAAACGGGAACGCCCCGAAAAGTACCATCTCGATTAAGCTCTTTGGTGATGGACTACCGGCATGCCTAAAATTGAGTCGGCTATCAATCTGCTCCTGCAGGAAGCAGAGGATCTGTGCATTGGCACCAGAGTGGTGGAGCTCGACCGGGTGCCCACTGCCTTGGAGTTCTGCCGGGAGTTCTACGGCAAGAACCAGCCGGTCGTCATTCGCAAAGCACTTTCGTGGCCGGCGATCGGAAAGTGGACTCCGGAGTACCTGGTCAAAGCCCTCAATGACAAGATTGTGGACGTAGCCATAACCCCAAACGGGTACGCCGACGGCCTGGCTTGTCAGGATGGCAAGGAGTACTTCGTGCTGCCTATGGAAACAAAGATGAAACTCTCACAGGTGATCCACCGTCTTGACGATCCCATGGGCCCCGTGCACTACATTCAGAAACAGAACTCGAACCTCAGCCAGGACCTGCCCGAACTAGCCAAGGACCTGCGGATCAGTGACCTCGACTTCGCCCAGCAGTCCTTCAACAAACCACCTGATGCGGTTAATTTTTGGCTGGGAGATGAGCGTGCCGTGACCTCCATGCACAAAGATCCGTACGAGAACCTTTACTGTGTTGTATCCGGACACAAGGACTTTATCCTGATTCCCCCACATCAGCTGAGCTGTGTGCCCCGAAGCTTGTATCCCACTGGCGTCTACCGCACCACTGACAATGGACAATTCTCCATAGAGCCATTTAGGGACGAGGACGGCTGCGAACAGCTCACAGAGTGGGTCAGCATAGACCCCCTAGCGCCAGACCTAGCTCGGTTCCCAGAGTACTCCCGCGCCAGGCCCCTGCACGTGCGGGTCAACGCAGGGGACATCCTTTACCTGCCCAACTACTGGTTCCACCACGTGCGCCAGAGTCACAAGTGCATTGCCGTCAACTTTTGGTACGATCTCGACTACGACAGTCGGTACTGCTACTTCCGTATGCTGGAGGAGCTTACCAGCAAGACCAGCTAGGAACTGCCTATATTAAAATGGACTCATGTATTGTTGTAAAATTGTTGTTTCAAATTAAAGAAATATCATAGAAAGGAACATTTTTTTTTGTTTAAAAATAAGCCAAAGGGATAAGCCCCATCCAATTCATGCAGTTTTTACAAATTTACTTCGCTTTCAAGAAATTTGCTCCCAAATGAAATATAGTTAAAAAAAAAATGCATTTTTAACGAACTTATTTGAATCACCTTTGAAATTTGTTTCCAGAAATGGTCTTCGTATTATCTGTTTCGATCAAATCAGTAAGACTCATAACTTTATTAAACAGACACAAGTTACAAGTCAAGTTTGTATAGAATATCATCTAAAAGTAATATAAAATGGAGCTCTCCGTATAAAAGAATTTGAAACGAACGCATTCTGTGTGTAAAAAGTCGTGTAATTTAATTTTGAATGAATCTTCTAACCCAAATGATCTGAAAACTAGGATAAGGTTAACATAAATTTAACGCCCCGGAAAATGGGAATGAGTGGTGGGGTGTCCGTATGGTTAAGTGTAAGCTACGATATTAGGAATGTATAAATCGACGGAAGGACGGTTTAGTCCTGGTTGGGCTCCTTCTCCTGGTCAGGCGACTCGTCTACAGCAGGACCGTCCGCTTCCTCACCCGGGTTTTCGTCATTCTCACACTCCAGGTCGCCGTTTACGGGAGAGCTGCCATTCTTTTGGTCGGCCTCGGCCAGGTCGCCATCGTTTTGAGAGTCTTGGGTGTGGGACTGGGACCGTTCCCGAGTTTGTGGCTTATCGGACTGCTTGCTGCCGGGGGGCTGAACCACTACGAAGAGTTGTTCCAAATAATTGCGGTACCACGACAGAAAATTGTCGCGTTGCCGAGGCATGACCATCTTCTTGATTTTTGCGTAAATGCGTTTGGGGGATATGAGTGGGGAACTAGCATTGGTCGAGTTTTGCGCTGCGGTGGCCGTCAGTTTCGAGACCTCCACCAAAAGGGAGTCGTTTATTACGGTGTTGTTGTGCGTTTGGTTGCGAATGCGCTTAATGATGTACTCGATCAGCTCATGATCGGGGCCAAGGTTTGAGGCCAAATCGGATGGTACTTCTCCTGTCGCATCATCTGAGTGCTCCTCCGCCTGCTCGCGTTCTTTCTAAAAAAGAAAAAAGTGATAGTTTTTCCTGGAATGGCCAAGATTTAGGAGAATAGCTACCTCCGCATTTTCTTTTCCTGGAGGAGTAGGAGCAGCCGTTGCATAAGCGTTCGTTGCCAATTCCCCCTGCTCAAGGGTACTAGGGGGGGCCTTGTCGTCCTCGGGACGATCGTTATCCAGTTGCAGGCTCGCCGTTTCCAGCGGTGAGTCGCTGCGGCTCTCAGTTGCTTCCACATTGGGATTGAGACGCAGCTCGTTGTCGTCCTGGTTCATCGCCTTTCGCAGGTTTTGTGCCTCCTGCGGCTGCTGAAATTGTTGCAGCTGTTGCTGCTCGAAGAGCGACTCCAGCCGGCGGTAGACGTCCTCCTTTATCGACTCGTAGAACTTGGTAGTGAACTTGTCGTTTTTCAGTGCATTGACCAGCAGGTTGCGGTTTAGCTCCTCAGACGCAGTCTCCTCGATTCTCTCCCGCTCCAAAACGTTCGACTCATCCTCTGGCAAAGCCTCCTGGCCCAAGGATGCAGTAACATCCACTGGGGTTGCCTGAGGCAATTCTACGTAGTCCATGTACTGGGCAGGCAGCTCAAAATCGAAACGCAGGTGACGTTGTTGGATGGGCGTCAACGAGACTGCCGATGTGCTCGACTTTGCTGGCACTTTGTTTCGCTGGTACAACGGGCTGTTGCCAAAGTTGACGTTCATGTTTAGATTGGACGAGCTGGCCTGCTCAGGCTCTTCGTCGCGCAGTGTCGAGAGCTGTGGGCGCCGACGGTTGCGTCTGCGGCCCGAGCCAAACACCACATTGTCGTGGCTCTCGTCGACATCGTCCACCTCCTCGTCTTCGCGACTGTGGTCGAGAGCCTGCTCCTCGCGCCAGTCTCGCTTCCTGAGAGCAGTGCCACTGTTGTTCAGGTTATTGCTGCTGCTGCCATGCAAAGCTGTTAGTGGCGACTCAAAAAAATGTCTTCGCTGCGGCTGTTGTTGCTGAAGGGTGACTCCACTCGCCGACCCGCGGGAGGCATGAGGCGCCAGGAGCTGGGGCGTCTGAAAGTAACTTGGCCGTGTCCGCTGTCGGCGGTACTGCTGGAAGTCCACGTTCTGCTCCTCGTTACTCTTGTTCGACAGTAGGTTTTGGCGGGAGTGGCTGCAAAAGCGCATTGATTTTAATGGGTTATGCAAGCAGGAAGCAGCAACTCAAATATATTTAATGTTACATCTTATCAGTTAATAATCGGAAAGTAAAATTAGTTGTTACAAAAATGTAAAGCTACTGGCTCAATGGTGAACATACCATTGGGCACCAGGATTATTAGCTGTTAGTCACTTTCAACTCTGTTAATAGAACCCTACACTGCATGCAACGCCGTGTTGCACTCACCGAATCACAGAATTGAAAATGAACTCAAAACACCGTTTTGCTTTAAATTTTATTGGTTGGGACCTCTCTCCCCTAAATACTAAATAAAAACCATCACCAAAGTTGGGGCATTACCTGCGGAAGTTGTCCCAGTAGTTGTTGGCCCTGTTGCCCGGGGGCACTTGGTTGTTGAGCGTGGCCGCTACTCCTGTTCCCGATCCGGCTCCCTCGGAGAGGGGGTGCAGGTTGTTAGCATGCTGGTTCTGGGTGCGAAGGTTAGCGTTGTTTTGGTGAATCGTGTTGTTGTGGTGGTTCATGAATATGGGTCCCGGGCTGTTGCGGTAGGATGGTGGCGACAGCGGGGTTTCATTGTTGAAATGAGTTGGTGGGGGAGCAGCGTTATTCAGAAACGGCTGCTGTTGGTGCTGCTGCTGGTGCAGGTGGGAGTCACCTCCTGACCGGTGACTTCGCTGGAAGTTACTAAAGGCGCTCTGATGGGTCCCGAAAGCGAAGAGCTGCTCCGACTGGGCGCGTGCGCTTCCCAGGCAGAGGTTATTGAGATTCGGTGGAGGGACGGAGTCTGCCCGCATTCCAAAACCGTGGTCCTGACAAGCCACCACATTAAGGCGATCCTGGAGCTGTAAAATCAAAAGTCTAGTTATGATCCACCAAAGCCCTTAGGATAGGATAACCATACCGCGTGCACTTGACTGTTAAGAGCATCGATTTCCCGCTGCTGGTGCCACAAGGTTTGGTTGCACTGGCACACTGAGTTGATCAGCATCTGTTGGGTTTGCATGAACTGCTGCAGCATGACGGGATCGGGGGATCCGTTTGATCCCGACGCGTTGGACGAGTTGGCCTGCGGGGCGGCCGTCGCAGGTTTGAACTCTGCTCCAGAGCTGGAGGTGGCTTGCCCGTAGCTAGGTTGCTGGTTATGCCAGCCATTACCGGAGTTCTGCGAGCCTGAGAGGTTGGAATTTAAATGATGTTTAATTATTACATTTCTTTGAATTTCCTTGGATATCCAAGTAAATAGCAAATAAACCTGTCTTTCCTTGCTTGACCAGGCCACTTTGGAAATTTCTGTTTCGTTTAGGATTAAGATTTTCTAAAGATTTTAAAAGATATTTTTAATGACGAGTCACGGAGTTATCGTAATAGCTATTTTGGTCTTGAAAATTACTTTTTTCAATTACTTGAAAAATCGGCCAATCCTGATTGTTAGTTGTAGTTAATCTTAATTACAGTTTGTAAAAACCTAACAGTTTTTAATTTTTAAATGGGGTTGCTAAATGCCTAAAAACCACAGAAAAGAACATCTAGGAAAAAACGCTCTTTCAGGCTCATCCTAAAATATTTTTTTAATTTTAAAATTATTCTTGAAAAAAAAGCTTTATTAAATTATCAAATTTAGCAGAAAGTCATATTAATTTATGTTTGTTCTGTAACTTACGTTGCACTTCCAACGATAAATATTGAGGATGGTCAGCACCTTACAATTAATACACCTCTAAACTTGATTATTACAAACTTTTTCTAAATTAAATATTTTCCACTCCCACTCCCACTAATAAATACTGAAGAAACTTACCCCAAATTCCCTTCACCGGCTGCATGGGCGGTGGCATGTATTGCGACCTGTTGCTGCTCGAGGGCAGACTGTCGTTTCCCAGCGACAAAGTGTCAATCGTGGCGTTCAGTTCGTCCTCGGTGTGGGCCGAGGGTGGTGCCTGGGGTGGCGGTGGCGGCGGATGAGAAGCCAGCTGCCCGCGCCGCTGTTCGACCACCGTACTAGCGGATGGTGCCCGTTTCAGCGTCGCCGAAGAGGAGGTGCGGACGTGGGCAAAGTACCGGTCGCTGTCGGTATCGTCGTTGGCTTCATCGTCTGCCTCTGAAGTGGTTTGGTTGCTGGCGACGTAGCGCTGCTCCAGCTCTCGCTGCTTCTGCTCATACTCTTTTCGCAAACGCTCACACTGGAGCCTCAGCTCGTCGCGCAGTTGCTCCTTGGTGGGTGTGGCCTGCTGAGAGGTGTCTACCTCGGAGGGATCCTCGTTTTCTTCGTTCTCCTCCACTACTCGTTGTCTCGCTGGGGTTGGGGTCGGGGTGAGACTGTTTCGCTTAAGGGCCTCCTCGCCCATAAGAACTGCGGCGGCCGCTTGCTGCTTGCGGCGTTCGATTTCTGCTTTGAGAGCCAGAATCCGATCGCGCTCCTTTTGCAGGCTGACTGCTTCAGCACGCAGCTCCGAGGTAACATCGTTGAGCGCAAAAACGCGCTGGGCTATCTCTGCCGGCAATGCTCGCTCCACGCTGTCCCGCTCCTCACTACGCCGCTCCAATGAGGAACCCACGCTGGGAGTACCTTCGTCGATTTGGGTGACTGTGTTCAGCATACTCTTCAACTTTGCCATTTGGGCTTTCAATGCATCAATGTCCGCCGTCTTCTGGTTAATCATGGCTTGAGCTTGAAGAGCCCGTTGGGCTGCGTTGGCGGCCTCTTGCCGCAGGATGGGTACTTTGCGTTGGTATTCCACTGGCACCACTCGCTCCTTAGCCGGCGCTGGAGCAGAGCTCGGCTCCGGGGCCTGGGCCTGTTCAATAGCTGGTTTTTGAGGAGGAGTGGCAGACCCTGCGTTGATGTTGGACCGAGTCTCTCTGGCCACGCGGTTGATGCTGTTTAGCTCGTCGACCAGGTTACGCATGTCCTCGCGTTGACTTCGAAGCGATTCCAACTTTTGCTGTAGAGCCTGTTGCTCTGCCAAGATTTCGGGTCCATCGTCTCCCAACACGCTGCTTAGCTCGTTCTGGTTGTGGATGAAGGCCGTCAGATTCTTCATGCGTCCAACCAAGGAGGCCATATCATCTTGCACCTGTTGAACCGACTCGTAGTTCGGGGCATCTCCTCCTCCCCTATTATGGGGCAAATGACTGGCCTGCTGCCGCAACTGTTCCATATCGCTAAGATGCGACTTGGCCAGGTTTTGGATGTGCAGTAATTTGGCCTGCTCATCTTGCAGGTGCTGCATATTGCGGTTGGAGGCTTCCAGCCGCTGCTGCAGCTCGTCAAAGGTGGGCGCAGTGTCCGGCGTAGGAGTTTCCGCGACACTGTGCAAAGATTGAATAGACTGGGCACGGTTGTCGCTCATCTGGAAGGTATATGAATGTTTTTGTTAAAAGGGAGAGATATTTATTTCCTGAATTTATTACCTCGCTTAACGCAACATCCTCCAGGCTTGTAGAGTTGACTATGCCCTCCTCTTGCTCCGCGCTTGGGTTGATTTCGTGAACCATGTTGTTAAGTTGCTATAAAGGTTAGAATCAAATTCAACATAACATTACAAATCAATTACTGATACTCGAATGTTAGGTATACCAGCGGTATGTTGACTCACCTCGACTAGGTTTTCTGCCGACTGGTGACCGTGGCTGTTCAAGTTTTCGTCTAGTTCCAGCAGGCAACGCAGAACCTCTACTTGAGAGCGGCCGCCTTCAATCCTTTGTCCTATGTGGGGAAGGCTAAGAAAGCGATGCACAAGTGTCTGCAGACTGGCGCTCAGGGGAATGGAATTCTCGTCGCCGCTGTTGCAGTTTCCGTTGCTGGTGGTCGCGTTTGGAATAACTACGCCCACTGCGGCATTCGGGGGAGTCGACTGACGTAGCCGCAACAGAGAAGTAGAAGTGACTGCCGGGGACGAGGACGAGGGCTGATGCTGGACGCGCTGCACAGGACGCACGGGGAATCGGTAGCGTTGGTGCTGTTGCTCTGAAGAGGAAGGTAATTGTGTTATATATACATCGATTTATGTCAGAATGTGGGCTGCTGAACACGTAGATTCGTGGGCGTCTATTTTCGTGCACGCGTATTTTTAGAACATGAACTAGCGCACCGATCTCTGTGCGGCTAGGTGGGCATATTGGAAGTGTTCAATGAATACGTTTCTGCAGACATCTTCTGACCTGTCGACTACTTACCAACTGAATCGTAGCTGCTCTGCTCCCCCGATTCGCGTCGTGGTTTCTGCTGCTCTTGAGTTAGAATCCCAGGGTCTCTGGAGGATGTGGGTTGCTGCTGGTCCTCTACAGGAAGGATTTTTCCGTTCGAAATGCGGGATCGCTGCAGCAGCTCCTTAAAGCAGCACCAAAGAAAGGTTACTAGAAGGGTTACCACAAGTAGGGCCGCAATTTTGACGGCTTTTCTATATATATATGTTTGATTTTCAGATATATATATAATATGCGTTCAGCGATCGACCGGAATCCCTTGACCGCCAGGACTGAGATCGTTTTCTCTACTGAGCCATTCGATTGAAAAAATTCGCGGCCGAGATGAGTGTGAAGTATATTTATAAATCGGAGAGGCATATGCATATGTATCTTGCTGATACCATGGCAACGGGCAACTTACGTTCAGTGTTTTCAGCGTCTCTCGCTGAAGGGGCTCCACGAATTCCAGGTCCGGCTCGCCCAAGTGTTCTTGCTGTCGACGGACTCGGGCAGACCGGCCGGTATTAGGAGTGGTCGCTGCGGTTCCGGCTGCAGAGGTTCCCCCATTCTGAAGGGGACGCTGTTGTTGCTGCTGTTTGGGCACTGCGCCGGTTGCACCACTGACAGAATTGTTATTGCTATTGCCGCTAGAGCGGGCGGTGGCGCTACCCTGGTCCACTACTACTTTGAGGGGCGGCGCCATAACAGAATATATTTTTATTCAATTTTATTTATTTTCTTAGACTCGTACTGTGTTTTTCTGATTTGCGCACTCTGACAGCTGATTCAACCAGGGCTACACAAACACCCGCCACCTTCGATGCGGTCACACTGAACGAGGGTCTAGTTTGAAAAGTTATTGACCGTTAGAAATCCAATTCTTTTTTAAAATTTTTTATCTGAAATATAACCAAAAAGTGTATAATAGAAAAAATTTTAATAAAAAAAAGGTCGTATTTTTGTATTAGTATATTTTATATACCATTTTCAAAATGAAGATACCCCGCTCCACATCAATATACAAAGGGCTATTTATGTTTAAGTTTAAACCAGGGGTGCTCAAATTCGTCTTATGGCAGTGCGTTTACTAACACAGACACAAGAAAACGTGTACATATGTAGCGGCGCTTTAGTGTTGGGGCGCAACTGTGCACTGAGAGAAAGAAAAAACAGTTTTAAATATTTATTTATTTTTTTTTTTTTTTATATTTGGCTTAAAAAAGATTCAATATTTATATTAATTTTAGTGGTTGATAATTTTAATTGAGCTTCCAGATTATTATTATTTAGTCCCACGAAATAAATCAAAAGCCAAAGCAGACAGAAGAATAAGTTCCAGTGCATGTGCTCGAGGAAAAAACAAAAACAAAATACACTGCGTTCAGCGAAGCGTGACGACGGATAGAGATGTAATGAAGAAACAAGCAAAATTGTTTTTGTTTCGCATGGTAATCGAAGCCCATATGCACGGTGCTTATGGGCGCACTAGCCATAAGCACAGAGCATCTACAAAAACAAAAGTGCACTCAGTGTATAGGCGTTGAGCACCCCTGGTTTAAACCATTGCAAGAGTGGGTCTTATTTTCCCTGTTTGCGCTGCATAATTTCTTCCTTGAGAGTCCTAATTCGATCCCTCTCAGCCCGGAGGCTTTCCGCCTGTCCCCTAAGATCGCTCGTGAAGTCGGTGAACATGTTCAGCATAGCATTAAGTAACTCTGCGTTGTCAGGAGGCGCACTCTCTGAGGCATTCGGGCTTTGGCCTTCGCTGGATGCAGGCTCCTCCCTCTGGACAGGCACTCGGACCTCCGAGGTCGTGGTCTGGCGACTGCTATGGCTGGAAGAAGAGCTTTGCGAGGTCTCCCTGGTGGAAATATGCTGCTCGATCAACTTGGTTGTGTCCACCATGTGCTGGACTCTTTTAAACTGCGCCTTCAGATTAGCAATCTCGTTCAGCTTCTCCTGAAGGTAACTCGCCGTCTCCTCCTTGTCCTCGTCGCTGGTGGAGGTCTCCTCTTGGTTAGGTTCTGGACTTTCCGATGGAACTGGATCAGGATGAGGAGCACTAGTTGAATCTGGCTGAGTTGGGACTTCCTCTTGTGTGGCTAGCGGTTCCTGGAGCGGAGCGGCCTCACTAGCTGCCTCCCGAACTTGGTGACGCTGCGCATTCAGACGCGTTAGCTCGGCTGCGCGTGTTCGCAGGGTCTCCATCTCCAGCAACAGCTGCCTGTGCTCCTCCTGCATCTCCTGAAGCTGCAGGTTGGAGGCTGCCAGACGCTTGAAAGTTAATTTCATTAAATATTTGGGGATTTATTCATAACCCGTCTGGGTAGATAATAGGCATCAGACGATTAGACCTTACCTCGCTCAGTGCAGCATTATCCCCAGTCTGAGGTCTGTTCAACTCGTTGACCATCGTCGAAAAGCCTACAGAAAACAGAGAAGATTTTTATTACAAACGTATGTATTCTGCGTACATACAAACACACACTCCCAATGAAACATTGGCTATAAATAAATCCTTCTTTGTTCAATTTACTTTTCAGTTGCAATTGTGTCAAACACGATTGTGGATCTGATGGGTGCCAGCACTTGGCAGCTCAGAAATACTTTTGAAACTTACACAGCGGAAAAGACAAATATTTTACCTTAAAAATTTCCTTCTTAACAAAAATATGTATTTTCTATGCGCTAAATAGGGCTGTTTGCCGAGAGATGCCAAAGCTCCAACTGAAACGCTGCGCCGAAAACAAAAATATTTTCAAACGATCGTGTCTATATGTAACACTTTGAAATTCGTTGAGCAGGCGGCAAGCGTTTCAATAATGATGTGGGATCTACATTGTGGGTGGTTCTGGATAACTTTATACCATAGCCTGCCGAAAATGGATAGAAGCTTCGGAAAACGCACGAGGATATACGATTTTATTTTAATATATTTCTATGGATGTGAGTGTGCCAAAACTTTATAAAATTCCACAAAAATCGAAAAGTTGGAATTGAATGGAAATTTATAAAAAAAAACCCATCCATTATCGAGATGAAGTTTCAAATGAGATCACAATACAGTTCCATTATCAGTGGCTATTTTTTAGGTAAATAACTTGAATCATTCTTTCTAAGAATACCCATCAAAGTACCATAACTATTCCCCTATACATTATTGCATATTTAAGATTTTAGACAAAGTGTTCCTATAAAGGAAGCCACTATCTTCCGTGAATTAATATGTTCACTGTTTTACAGATAAGACAATAGGTTGGAAGAAGAAATCTCATATACAGAGGTAGAATATCGTACATTGCAACCAGTATTTTCCTTTAAGCAGTGATGATGAGTAGATGTTGGTCGAGTACTAAGATAAAATGCTAGGAAAAACTAATACTTTTTCTTTTAGGGCGCTTTATTTTTATATTCATGGTATATGCCCTGTGGACGGCAAGGACACAAAGCTTAGATGGCGCCAAATCCGGTGAAGATATTAAAGTTACACCCACAACTGCACCCGATGAAGATATTGAAATTAGTGCCCCAACTACATCCGATGAAGAAGACGGCGATAATAATCCCCTGATCGTGGGGAACCTTAGTCTATGTCAGAATGTGGTCGACAATGTGTTCCTGCCTTTTGTGGGTGATTGCAACAAGTACTATCTGTGCCGATGTGAGTTCCGTCCCAATAATCTGTATATCATAGCTATATTGAAATTTTTAAATCATCCAGCCGGCAAAGCCATTGAGCTCAGGTGCGAGTGGCCCTATCAGTTCGATGCCGCCACTCAGAGCTGTGTGAATCCTGGCAAGGCGAATTGTTTACCCACCTGTGAGGCTTTTAAGTTCAGTACTTTTGGCTACCAGCGCACTTGCACCAAGTATGTGCTCTGCTACTACGGCCATCCTGTGCTGAGGGAGTGCCAGGACGATCTGCAGTACAACTCTAAGACAGACCGCTGCGACTTCCCTCAGAACGTAGACTGCGTCGAGTCGGAGTGCTCCATATACTTCAATGCCTACCATCTGCGCTACGTGCCCAGCAAAAGTTCCTGCGAAAAGTACTTCCTTTGCGGCAACGGAATTCCCACGGAACAGACGTGTGCCACAGGGCTACATTTTAGCACTAAGTGCAATTGCTGCGACATTCCTTTGAACTCCAACTGCCAGGTGAAAGGGCATAGGTCGCCAGACGTAACTTTATTAAAGCTCTTACTCAAATTCCACAGATATCCCCTCAACGAAGACTAACCTATCATCGGATTTCCCCTAAGCCGTCTGAAGTGATCTGTCCCTCCGAAGGTGTCCACTTTTATGCCCACGAGACACGTCCGGACGCCTACCACTACTGTGCAATGGGCCACGGCCTGATTCTGGAGTGCTCACAGGGATTATGGTTTGATCCTGCGGTAAAGGAGTGCCGTGAACCTAAAAACGTGGGATATTAAAATCAATAAATCTATACATCTTGAATTCTAGAATTTATTTAGTCTTGTCTTTGTTTACATTGGATGATAATATATAAAGCTGAAAAAATTACGGAAGTCAGTAAAATTTTTGAGATTCTTAGAAATAGAAAAACGAATCACATTTAAGCAAATTATATTTGTTTTATTTATAGATATTATATGTATATACATAGCTACATATATATACTTACTGTAGGATAATTTACTGATTGAATTAATAGACAAATATATGTGCTGGCAAAAGCAGATATTTATTATTGAAAACTATTGGCCTCCAAGCTAAGGGAGGCGGCATTCGCCGATTTGAGCATCAAACACCAGGCCAGGAGTGCAGTCCAGGGTAATACCGCGACCGTTCAGGCAGTAGTAGTAAGCGTCCTGTCGCTTTTCGTGGGCTATAAAGTGGGCGCCCTCCGCAGGGCACTCGACAGTCGCCCTACGTGGAGGAGCGCGAGCAAAGGGTAGAATGTTGCGCTGGAGGGTCTCGACCTAATGGCAGAAGATGATTTTGTATAATCTTTTTTTGATCATCTGCCAACTCGATACTTACGTCGCACTCAACTTTCGAGGGAAAGTCACAACTGTCGGTTTCATTGTTGAACTTCAAACCCGAGGTGCAGTTCTGGGCTATGGGACGACCATTCAGGCATATGTAGTACTTGTCGCAGCGCGACTTGCTGGATGCGTAGACGATTGCCTGCGGGTTGTTCTGACGGATGCACAGATTCTCGGCGCAATCCACGTATTGAGGATAGTCGCAGCGATCGGTCTGGTCGTTGTACTGAAGTCCTGAGGAGCATTTCCGGACTACTGGGGTGTTGTCGAAGCAGAGAACGTACTTGTCGCAGGTGCGGGGGTAGCCGAATGAGGACAGACCCCGGCCCTGGCACGACGGGATGCATTGGGTCGCCATCACATCCGTGCACTCTTGAGAGGCAAAATCGAAGTAGTATCCTAAAGGACACGTCCGAGGCACGGCCACCTCCTCTGCGAAACAACCGTGATTGGAATTATAAATGAGACAATTGAAGAATGCAAATTAACGAACTAACCCATGCAAAGGTAGTACTGGCTGCAGTTGCTCACATGCGGCAGGAAGAGATTATTAACCACATTCTCGCATATATTAACATCGGCATTAACTGCAGCGACTCCTATAAGGGCTAGAAGGTGGAGGACTCGGAGGTGCACCACTGCGGAACAGATGCTTAAAACTCGCTCTCATCTAAGGTCTTCATACTCACTATTTCACTGCAGCATCAGCAACCAACTATTGTCTGAGCCACAAATCGTTTCCATTTATACCATGCGACTCCATTGGCTCAAAAACTTGACTCCCTGTTAAGGGAACTCGTTATCAGATAAGGATGCGTGTTTTTTGTGCTGTAATTAGAGTTGTTCAAACTCATCTCATTTAAATTGGTCGAAAGATAGTGCCAACGAACAAGGTCCAATCTGAGCAGGCCGTAATGAGATGAATCCTCAAGAACGATAACTAAGCGCCGCATTAGGAAACACGTGCCTTGACGAGTTACCGATGGGTCTCTTAAGATTTCATGTAATTGGTGCAATGTAACAATTAGGTAGACACTTTCTCATTGAAGGAATCAGGAGGAAACTACAAATCGAGTAAACGTTTTCCAAATATTTATAAACGAAACAAATAATTAAAATACGTTCATATATATTCCCAATAAATTCCCATAGATAAAAATTGTATAATGTTAGACTTACTAGTATTACCATTCATCTCAACCGTTATTTAATAGACTTGGGTTCTTGGAAGTAGAATATGTACCCAATTGCCAATATTGTACTTCCCTAAAATCAAACTAGTACTAGCATTATCGCACTCTTCTCTGCGGACAAATTAAAAGCGGAACACCGCAAGAAATAAAAATAGAACATATATTTTTGGCAGTTTCAAGACTGAATGGTATGCGGAACCCAAACGCCACCGCTGAGTCAGAAACCAATTATTTTCTCTGCGTGTATATAAAACCGCTAGTATTCAGAGCAGTCGTGTGCCTAAGTCTGGCTGATAAGAGAAAGGCAAGTACTCATTAAAAGTGCCTGGTAAAATAACAGATATAAATGGTTTTTTTCCAGGCTATGGCCAAACAGTTGATGGCACGCTGCGCACTATCAAGGAGTAAGTAGCGCTGGAGAAAGGTGTTACCCTCCGAATTTATAAATCTATAAAATTATGCAGTGAATTGGCGAAATACCTTGTTTTTTCTTCTGACACTACTAACGATGCGTCGTGCTAGGAGCGAGGATGACCTGGTGGTGGCTCCTGCACCCGACGATGATCGTGATGCCGAAATCTCCGAAGATCAGTACGACATGTATAATAATACTCAGATCAATGTTTGCCGCAACATCGCTGATGGTGTTTATCTTCCCTATGTCGGGGACTGTGCGAAGTATATTGAGTGCCAGAGTAAGTCAAAATTTAGCCTTACTCCATTTTGCGAATTATGGACTATTTTAATTACAGCTTGTATTAATCCCAAAAGTTGTAACTAAGTATTCAATTTCACTCCCTCTTTTAGACGGCACCATACACGAAATCGGTAGTTGTCAGGAAATCGAGGAGAAGTCACCGTACCTTTGCCAGGATCCGGAGCTACCGTGCGAATTGGGCTTCGATCCTGTGTTCCAGGTGTGCACCTGGAGGAGCATGGTCCAGTGCTTACCCACATGCGAGCCATTCGCGATGAGCAGCTTCTGCTACGATAACACCTGTTCCAAATACGTCCTCTGTTACTACGGCCGTCCAGTGCTCCGGGAGTGCCACGACAACCTCCAGTACAATAACGCCACCGATCGTTGCGACTTTCCACAGTACGTGGACTGCGTGGCCAACGACTGCTCAGCCACCGACCAGCCGGAGAATATAATTTATCTAGCCAGCAAGGCCTCCTGCTCCAAGTATTTCGTCTGCTCCAACGGCCGCCCCTGGGAACAGGAGTGCGCTCCCGGCTTGGCCTACAATCCTGATTGCGAGTGCTGCGACTTCGAAGAGCATGTGAATTGCACGGTTAGTTAGCTAATATTAATATTAACAGGACCCAACTTTTTTTAATTATTTTTCTTATCTTCCAGATCGAAGCGAAGGTCAGGAACATTAAGCCTTACTCCCGCTCACCGTTGCGACGTGCGGACATCACTTGCCCAAAAGAAGGAGTCTTTTTCTACCAGCATAAATCGCGTAAGGACGCCTACTACTACTGCGTTGATGGTCGTGGTGTTACTTTGGACTGTACGCCAGGACTGTACTACGATCCCAAGGTGCAGGATTGTCGCGAGCTCCAAAACATTGGCCACTAACATTAAGAGTTAAAATTTTAAAAAAATATAAACACTGACAAAAAATTAAAGTCAAATAAAAATTGTAAACATTGTTTTTTATGCTGTGTCATTTATTTTATATCTCTTATCTTTTTATTTTCAAATTTATCATCCACATTTTAAGCTCAGGTTGAGCGCAAAAACGTTGACATCTTGAATCTATAGAGTCCATATGGTATAGATTTCCAATTTCAAAAATGTATGTACTAATGAGAAATATAAAAAGATTTTTATACATATTAAACTGAAACAAAATTGATCAAACATTTTTGTAATTTTAAAAAATGCGCGGCATTCTCGCTATAAGACTTTATTCATAATGGTTTATACGGTAATATTCAGAAACAATTTTTATTCATTCACAATGGCGCGCATGTCTCGCGAGTTTTAAGAGAATTATCTGAGAAAAGCGGAGAGGATAATTTAGAGAGAGAGAGAGAGAGAATGAAAGCACACCCCCTGAATATACAGAAAACAAAAACAAAACACTTTCTGCCTCGCTCGCCCACTTTACACTTCCCGAAATTGTTGAAGTATTTCTGTTTGTTAGAAGCTACTTAAGATAAATGTGTACTGTAATAATATAAAAATCTTGCAGTATTTTCTCAAGGTACTGGGGACACAACCAAAAGCAAAAATTAAGGGAGTACCACTTATAAGGAAATATTTTGCAACAGCCCGAAATTTTTTCCAGTTTTGCTCTGATGAAAACACTGTGAACCGAGGGGGGCAAAGAGTTTCTGCCAAATCCGTGAAAGTGAAAACGAGCACGGTGCTCGTCCAGCTGCATTTACAATTCAGTTGGCTTTGAGTCCTTGCTACATTCGTATCGAATTCGGATCCGGAGTCAGAATTGCATCCCCGTCCCTTCCATCCGCCAGTTCCTTCACGGAAGGCTGAGCAGATACAGTAGCTCGAAGAGCTTGCAGTTTAAACTTTAAGGCGAATTCGAAGTCCGTGTGAGTTAGAAGCCAGATTTGATGGAAATATTCAATTCCAACGCGGTTCCGTTACTTGAAAAGTGTGCTGGCTGGTCCTGTCGGGTCGGGTGAGCGCCCAAGGACTTCTGCCAGAGCTGCAAAAACACGACCAGGCAGAAACAATATGTGTGCAATAACAAGAAACGTGACAGCAACGTGCCAATAGGCGAAGGCATTGAAAAGCTGACAGAAAAGTATTCGGACATCCTAAGAAAATATTGCAGGTAAACGAAAGCCAACAATCAGGTGCTGAATTGACATGCACTTGAAAACAACCCACAAGCCATCAAACGCATACATACAGTCATGTTTATATAAAATCTTGTATATACATTTTTGTATATATGTATGTACATATACATACATATGTGATGCATATGTACTTAATTCATACATATATATGCACATATATTGCATCGCATTGCTCATACGCAGCGTACGCCATCAAGTGGGCAGGGATTTTTTCATTCTTGTGGATTGGACGAGGAGACATGAGGACAGATATTCTATGCTGCCTGCCAGCCAGCCAGCCAGCCATTGCACGCCCTCGGCCCCTACTCTTTATTCAGATTTAATCGCCAGCCCGACCGCTTCTTCACTGTAGTCTCGCGAATGAAACAAATTCACTTCCCGCCAACCAGAAGGGCACGAGGGAGCGAACGGCGAAGAGCAGGAACGGCACAAAGGTTAACAGCGAAAGCAGCAAGTGAGAGTAAAAGAGTAAAATGGGGATGATGGCCGCGCTTTAAAGTTTACAATTTCTGTTTTGTTTTGGCATCTTTTTTCGATGACGCATAGATGGCTGGCGGGCTGAAGCAAACATTTATGAAGCGATCGGGCAAAGTTTGAAAAACAATTTTTCGGACATCCGCCAAAATAAAATAAATAGTACAAATTCCCGCGCTTCTGTTTGACTTGGAAAAGTTTATTTTATTTATATTCCCAACAAATACATAGCCATTGGCTGAAACGAATTTTATGCAATTGAAAAAATGAAATCTAATCACTTATTCCCAGTTCCCTAACAAGTTTATTAATAAATATGCTTGTGCGTATATCCCGACACTATCAGCTTTATCTCTCCACGTTCAAATAGTTTTTCCGGTACGGAATTTGCCTCAAGCTCAAGTAAGCATTGGGGGCGCTCGGCTTTCAGCTGTTTCCGTGGTGTAGCGGTTATCACATCTGCCTAACACGCAGAAGGCCCCCGGTTCGATCCCGGGCGGAAACAGGAGAATAACTTTTTTTCTTTTTTCCAGAAGAGAAATACTTGAAAACAGTTTTAAATGTTGACTATTTAATATATAGCATAGTAATCAAGAAGTTTAAACTAAAATTAGTAACTTTATTTACATACTTAACAATCTATATGTTTAAGGGATTTTATAAAGTATGAAGATAAGAAGTCTTTATTAGAAAGTAGGAAATAAATTATTTAAATATAATTAAATCTTTAGGTCTTTAAACATAGCATTATATTTATCATTACTGCATTGATTGATAAAAAAATGTACAAAACAACCAAAAGATAAAAAAAGGGCGGTGCTTAGTAATTAACTTTACATAAAGGTACATATTCGTTTTATTATTTTCAGAAATATTAAAACTGAGTCCAGTTAAACGTTGAAATACATTTTTCTGATATTTACGACTATTACGATATATAAATACATTTTAGGTTTTCAATTTATTGACTTTGAGGTGTACATTTTATGCAAATATTAATTTTTTATTTTTTATAAAATTAAAATGCTACAACTTTCTATGCTTTATTAAATTGTTAGCACTAATTTTACTAACTATAATAAATAAATAAATTTTTATTTTTATAAAGTTAATAATAAAAAAGAAAAAAATTATTTGTACCTGTTTCCGCCCGGGATCGAACCGGGGGCCTTCTGCGTGTTAGGCAGATGTGATAACCGCTACACCACGGAAACAGCTGAAAGCTTGGACGTTCTGAGGGCACGTTCAGCCACAAAGCGCAAGCATACATCAGAAACACCAGACCGAAAATATTATTAAACTGGTTCGTTCAGTGAATAAAATTTGAAAGTCTTGTCTGTCTATTTCAAGAGCAACTATTTCAAGGCGACCAAAAGACTGGGCCGTTTTTTGTTGAGGGTCTATGGTGTCGGGGTGGGGCTGATAAAATAATTATTTTTGGTTTCATGATGGGGGTCCTATGAAATTGGTCGAGAGAGAGCAAAATTTTATTGGTACTTTGTTTATGATTTTTCTCGATGCTTTCTTTTAATTAACAGAAGAAAATTTATAGTTTGTTTTGCATGTGTACTTGGAATTGGTATCTCTTGGGCGGGAAACTTGACCACTATAGGGGCCAACTGAGTTGAACCTTACCAAATGGCATCAAAACCTTCCTACAAACAAAAGGCAGGTCGAGGGACGCGATTGCACAAAGGATTCTCATTGAACGGAGGGTAGATGGGGTGTCATCCCAAAAAAAAGGGGAGTGGCGCCCAGCGAGAAATGAAAACGAAATGAACCTATCAAAAGGTTGTCAAAATGTCTCGTTTAAATATTTTTATTGCTCTGGCTTTAGCTTGGGTATTTATTTGCACTGAGCGCTCAGTTCTTTTCTCTGTGTCTTCATTGTATTGTGTAATTCGGCTCCTCTCGAAAACGTTCACGGTCGTTCAACTTTGAACCTGCTGTCAGATCCGGAAAGTTCCCGAATTAAAGCGTTTTTGTTATTAGAAGACTGTTAGGACCCTTCTTGCTCAAAGTTTCCCCAGAGTGTTTGTCCCATAATTCGAATAGTCTGAGTGTTATTTAAAAAAAAATGTTTCCATCGGTGGAAGTGGCGATTTTTTGTCCATCCAGTGATTGACTAATACCGCAGCGACCACAAAGAAACTAGCGGAGGCACACACCGTGCCCGGAAAAGTTCAACGCCCAGCTAAGCGAGCTAAGAACCAAAAATTGAAATACAGACGCCTGGAACAATGAAGCACTTTGTGGGTTTGGTGGGACATTTTTCTAAGCGGAGGGATAGTTCTTTAACAGTTCTATTGGAATCTCATTACTGTAGTACATTTTTTTACATTTTACATAAATTTTATTTTTTTTAATTTATTTGCCATCCAGCTTTCTATAATTCATTATTTGTATTATTAGCTCGGATTAATTATTCATACAAATTTATAAAGTTTCATTTAGCAGTAAATAGAACAACATATTAAAGGTATTTTTTTTTACAAGTTTTTGTTACTTTGCTTAGGAAAACCCATAAAAAATGAAAATACAGAGAAATGCACCTTATGGCTGTCCCTTCCGTTTGGGTGGCTTGGAGTCTTTGTGCAAATTGGTACGAGTTTGGTGTTTTGGGTCCTGTGGCTGCCAATGACACGGGAAGTGAAAGCGTTCAACGAATATTTTCCTCTTTTGAAGGGTTCCTTGACCAGGCAGGGTGTTGCCAAAACAACCTTTGTCCCTTGTTGCACTTTCAAAAGGGGAGGCACGACGAGGGTTGATGCTCCAGACCACAAGGACGAGAACGATTGTTTTCAAACAAGGAAGGCGACCGAGGTAAGGCAGCATCAGAAAAAGCGAAGCTCACGCTTCCTGTTGAAGCTTTTCGGGAAACAAACAGAGTAAAGTGCGAGTTTGGATGATTTCCGTCTGGCAGACACAAAGCCAAATGAGTCAGATGTGCTTTGTCTAGTCAAGGGGTGCCTCCTCCCATCGCGCACACGGCTTGAACTTCAAATAAGTTCTTAGCACGTATTACCACTGTCTTTCTGACTGTGAGTGCACCAAAAAATCTCAATGATAGGAAACATAAGTAAAGAATTTAAAACAAAATGTATCATTATGAAAATGGTCCATTGGATGTCTATAAAGTCTATACACAGTCACAAAGCTGGCAAATAAACATGCTTTGTGCGGCGAAACATTTTCAGAAACACTTTTGAGTGTCAAGATACACTTTAAATTTATATTGTAATTATAATAGTTGAAAAGAAAAGCTTATGTTACAAAAATTAAGCATGAAAACTTTTTAAGAGTTCCAAATAAGATACATTTTTTTAGTGTATTTATTAAACAAATATTGATAACCAATTTTTTCATCCCTTGTAGAAGGATTCTGCGATGCATTTCTGGATTGACAAACGCTCGCAGCAATGCGGGTTCGGACGTTCCCGGGTGGCGGCCTCCCTGTCACACGCCGGAGGCGGTCTCAGCTACGCCCACCCGCCAAGGCGAAGTAAGACCACCAGCTGCAGCAGCCAGCCTGCAGTGCACCGATCCCTGCCCCAGACTCCCTACGACATCCAGCCAGGCACGAGCCGCCAGTCGCAATATGGCAACAACAACTTACTCCACGGCCAGCAGCAGAACCTGTTGCAACAACATTCCAGCACCAGCAACAACAACAATGCCAACATGGGCACCAGCCATCTCACAACCACCGGAACAGCCACTGCCAGCAACAACAACAACGCCAGCGGAACCGCATCCTCTGCCGCTGTCCTCACCGGCAGCGGAACTATCATTCCCCTAGTGGCACGTGGCTCACACCACCACCCGCACAACACGCGACACCAGCCGAGGAGCCAGCAACAATTGGTGCAGCAACATCAGCACCAACAGGCACAGCAGCAACATCAGCCTTACCAACACTACAGCTACCACCACCCACAGTTCGGCAACATGGCAGTGCCTGTGAGGCAGCATCAGCAGCCGTTGCCGCCGCAGCAGCCACATTCCGGGTACGTCTATGCGTGAGTGTCCTTGGGCTTATTGCTTATAGAACACACTTGATCAAACTGACCTACTAATACTTCTGATTCTCCTCAGGGACGATGGCTACAGCACCTACCATCACGCCCCCTCTCATCAGCAGCACAGTAGCAACTATATTAGCAGCGCCAGCAGCAACACCCGACAATCAAACGCGTATGCCACGCCCCGTCGCCACAACTCCAGCAGTAACATGCGACATCCTGCCACCGTGGCGGTATCCTCGACCCCAGCATCTGCACCAATCGCCTCGAATGCACCAACGGCAACTTCCCAAATCGTCCCGCAGACGACCCACAGCAATCAGTTGCAGCAGCAACACCACGCCCTGCTCCAGCACGCTGACTCCCAGCTGCTGCCTAGCCACTTGAAGTGCGGCATGTGTGCCTCTCTAGTCCTGGCCTCGGTGTTCGTGGCGGGAACCAAGTTCTACTTCGACCACCAAGGCACTGGCCTGGAGGTAATAATCTTCTGCGCCTTTTCTGCCACTTTCTTTCTAGCCGCCTGCCTGGTCAGCCTTTGCCGCATCCCCAAGGGCTTGCTCTCCAGCTCGGGTCGCACCGAGAGTCGGGCGGCAGTGTGCCACTCCCGCGGCATCCCGGGGACGAGACGCGGGTCAGGCGAGGATGGGACACCAGCGGCCGGTTGTTTGTTAGAGATGAGCGACGTGCGGTATCTGGAGGAGCGGCAAGGAGTCGCTGGGGACCCTGCGGTAGCCGCGGCTGGTCCGCCCCCTTACCATATAGCCATCTTGCTGCCGGAGCAGACGTCGGGGCCGTTGGGGAAACAACTGCCGCTGGACGAGTCGCCTCCACCATCCTACGACAAGATTCTCGTCTAGGCTCAGCGGAAACCAGCGGAAGAGAGCTATGGAACCTTGATCGCGGTCGTAGATACCCAATGCCAAAACTCTTGCTCAGTATTTTTCTAAAAGAATATCACATTTTTTATGGACATTTACACGGCATAGTTATATATCAGGAATACATATACGCATACACGAATATTTAATTTTAAGCTCCGAGTAAAATATTTACACTTCTAAGCTCCGAACTAGATTCCAGTCACTTTCCCACTAGACCCCAGAACTTCTTCTACTGTCATTTTTGTTCTGTGATATGCTCAAGAGATCAATAATCATAAGCTATAACGACCGTACTTTTAATCATTAGCGACAACAAGCAAGCCAATGCAACGAGAAATAAACTTAGACATAAAGGATAACAGATACAGAGAGTAATCGCATTAAACAGCATTAAAGGAAACCTAAGAATCAAGTAAACAAATCATAGGCGCATTCAACTACCAAAGCCGAATGCCATATATTATGTGAATGAAGTACATATTCAATAAAAATATTAATAAGAAAAATTAAAAAGTAGGTCTTGTGTTGTTTTTTTTAGTGTATAAACTAAATATTATATAATAAAACTATACAATGCAACAATCCAGTTGTATTCCAGTCCCAAAGACCCCAAGAATCATAGACACGTGCCCCAATCTAGTTCAAACCCCTTAAAAACTGCCTAAATGGAAGCAGCATCCACTTTAAACAAAATACTTAAATACAAAAGGACATATTTTTTCGGCAAAGTGGAAATGGAATTTAAATTAGCTGAATAGTACAAAACAGAGTTATTTATATTCGCACCGGAAAATTTAAAGTATACCAGTTGTTACATAATATTTGCATATGGTATGTTCTTCCTTTTGTCAGCTACAAACCTCTTCTGCCTTAGTTCCACCATCGTGGCAGCTACGTTACATATGTACGACAAAAGACATAGTCCTTCAAGAAGATACAAGACGAGATAGATCCGAGCAAAAAATGTACAGAATGATTTTTAGAATTTCATGTATCAATTTAAAATAGATGGTTTTAGAATATGTATACCTTTTATAAATGTATACCTCCTTCGTCTGAACCGCTCACATACTGCCATAATTTGTCCGCTATTCAATCCGTTTTTAATCTTAGGGCCCATTGTGACCAGCTTGTAGCTTTGGGTGACTTAAATATCCCAGAACAAAGGTGGTCTAATGTCGATAACTCACCATTTTTATCATTCACCATGTTTGACATCCTAGGTCCAATTGACCATGTTAGAAGTTTGTTTGGTCGGCTATTAGACTTATGTTTTGTATCTGATCCTGATAGGACCATTCTTTCGAGCGCTTTGCTCCTTTGAAACCCAGAGGACCCATATCACCCCATGCTTGAGGTTTCAATCGAAACCATATCTGGTATTCCCGCTTGGAATGGAACTAACTATTGAAATGTACATAATTAAAACTGGCTTGCTCAATGAAGTCTTGCAATTAGACAATCTCCTCATCCCAGCCTACCACTATACACTATACTACACTATTTTATCTCACCGGCGTTCCTTGAGATTGGCTTCGTGGCTAATCATTGTCTTAAAGCCGTCAGCTGATTCTAACAGAAGAATCTGTTAGATGGTTTGGTAAAAGGGCATCGTCATCTTCACCATCCAGAGATACAAATGAGAGTGACCCAGCGTATGATCGTTGATCGTATAGTTGGCACTAATTCAAAAGGTTCCGTCGTTGAAGTTGGCGTGTGAGAAGACCGCCTTAAGGGTCCATTGTGGTAAGTTACGTCAAAAAATAGGCAATATTGAATAATTATTTAGGACAAAGAAAAAAACATTGGAACATTAAACTTTTCAGGTATATTTCTGATTCTTTAAAGATAATTTTGTAAAAATTGCAAAAATTGCGATTAATTTCCGGAAGCAGATCGTCCCCGTAGGCCAATGCACGAAACAGAATCGCCGCTGGCAACTCGTCTACAGATCTCACCTTCTTTGGTTTGTTTGGGTTATGCATTTTAAACACCGAACATGATCGTTTCCGTTTGTCCATGTCTTCCTTCCTCAGTTCGACTGCATAGCCCTTCTCTAGCATGCTGTTTATATGGTATAACTCTGCTTTGTTAAACGTTACTCTTAGGCAGGGATTTTCTTCAAAGCATTTTTATAGCTTTCAGGAAAAGTGTGGAAAATTTGTTTCTCCAGGGAATCCCAACTTGATAAAGTCCGTCTATCTTAGTGCAGGCCTCTTTTACTGTCTGGGGGGCTCTAAAGTCGTGGTGTAGCTATTTTGTTATTATCCTTGCCAATGAATATGGTTGATTTTACGTTTCGGTACGATTTTATGGGGATTCCCTGAACATATGTGTATCTTTTATTCAATGGTTCTTCATCGAGTATTTTCTTCGTAGGCTCAGGTTTTTTAATGTTAAGCCAATAGGTGCGATTGCCATCCACTGCAGAAATCGTAGCGTTGAGACTGTTTGGTCCATTGCATACAGATTGGTTAAGAAATACCCTTCGTGTGTAGGTGCTTGAAGAATGCTTCGACAATAAAAATGACGTAAAAATTATACGACGTACCAAATTTCATAAGGATCGGCCGACTATATCCTATAGCTGCCATATATCTGAACAATCGGAAATGACCCAACTTTGTTTTTGAAGATAGAAAGTTGTAACTTCGTACATATGTATTCTATCTTTGGTCAGTTGATCCGACCTACCAAATTTCATAAGGATCGGCCGACTATATCGTATAGCGGCCTTATAACTGAACGATCGGAAATGGTATTTGGTAAAAATACAAACTTTGGTTTTTCGAAGATGGAAGCTTGGGACTTTTTTTTTGTTTTGCATTGGAATAAACTGGTTATATTATGATATTCTCATAAGGATTGGCCAACTATATCCTATTTTTGCGATATACACTATTATCGCTTTTAACTGCAAGGGTACATCAACTTTGGCTCCGCCCTAATTTTGCTTTTCGTTCTTCTTTTTTTTTATTTTGGGTAGTAAATTATTAGCAGGAAAATGAAATATCAACATTAGACTGGCCAGGCAATAGTCCTGATTTCAATCCGATTCAAAATCTTTGGCATATTTTAAAAGTTAAAATACATAAAAAGTAACTGAAAACAACAAGATAATTGAATTTGGCACTGGAAAGTGTTAGGTGATGCGGGAGGCCAGTAATCGACCACCCGTATCCATTTGAAACGCTGGGGCTCCTTGTGATACCGCATGGGCAAAGAGCCCTGCAAGTGGCAGCGCAGGGCAGTGGCACAGGAAGTGCTCCTCTTCTACATCCCTGCAGCTTCTACAGTAGTCGTAGTGTGTCGGCGATAGTCTAGCCGCTTGCATTCCTATTAGCCAGTGCCCCGTGATCATTGATCTTTTCCTAGAGCGGATGGGTTATATCATGCGTGAGTTCCTGCAGTTCTGGAGATTCCTGCTTTTTCTCAGTGCTACCAGTTTAAAGTGTTCCATGCATTTCAACCTACACGTTGATAAGGGAATGCCTAATTTTTCTTTATCCAGAACGCCGAACAATTTCCCTCATGGTCCCTAAATGGTATTTCAAGTCAATTACCGGTCATTGTCACAAATGTGACGAATTCTGTCATAACACTGGGGCGATAATTTTTGAGAAGTATCCTTGACTTCCGATGATAGCGACTGTTCCCAAGATCCTCGTTCGTTCGAGTGACGTAATAGAAAATGCGGTACTTTCATATAGTGGAATGCTTCGGAGAGGAAAGAACAGAATTTTACAAGTCTGTTCGGCTCCAACATTTAAGAAGAAACCAACTGAATATAAAATTTTACAAATGTTGTCAAAGAGAAGCCCGGCCCGACCAAACACGAAACTTTTTCCCCAAGTCCCGTGCCCGGCACGAAACTTATTTACACATATAAGGAAATTTTAATGACATGCAATTTATAAATATTTAAGTACATATTTATTAAGGTATACGTATACATACACGAATATTGTTATGGGTTTAATAAAAAACTGTTAAGTTTTTATTTAGAAATAAAATATTTTTTAATTTTTTTGCTTGTTAGCCTAGTCCGTTTTTATTTAAACATGGCCCGATGTTGAAAAAAGCCTTTTGAGCGTAGACGAACTGGCTGGAATAGTAACAAGAAAGGAAAGCTAAACCTTTGCAGTTTAAACCGGATATATATCGCAAAAATCGGATATAGTTGTCCGATCATTATGAGAAGATCATAATAAAACCAATTAATTACAATTAAAAATCTAAAAAAAAAACACCAAACTATTTTTACCAAACACCATTTCCGATCGTTCAGTTATAGGGCAGCTATAAGATATAGTCGACCGATCGTTATGAAATTTAGTAGGTCGGATTATTACCAAAATTTATTGACCAATTGATTAACCAAAAATATAATCTGTACTAAGTTCCAGCTTTCTATTTTCAAAAACACGAAAGTTGGGTCATTTTCGATCGTTCAGTTATATGGCAGCTATAGGATATAGTCGGCCGATCGGTATAAAATTTAGTATGTCGTAATATGTATTTTGCCAAAAATAGCTCTCGTGTAAAATTTGAACTCTAACTCTAAAAACACCAAAGTTATACCATTTCCGATGAATTAGTTATATGGCAGCTATAGGGTATAGTCGGCCGATCTCGGCCGTTCCGACTTATATACTGCGTAAAAAAAAAAGAAGGGTGTGTGCAAAGTTTCAAGTCGATAGCTTAAAAATTCAGAGAACAGTTCGCCTAGAAACAGACAGACAGACGGACATGCTTATATCAACTCAGGAGGTGATCCTGATCAAGAATATATATACTTTATTGGGTCGGAGATTCTCCTTCACAGTGCTGCACACTTTTGGACAAAATTATAATACCCTCTGCAAGGTTATAAAAATAATGAGGGGAATGGGAGGGTAATTTAAGTAAGCAATCGATGCTTTTTTAAGAAGAAGAATCCGCAGAAAATGGTCCGTTGAGTCCTTTTCCAATAGAGGCGGCCAGTTATGCAGGCGGTCATTAATTCATTTTCTAGGCGGTCATTTTAAAACGATTCAAAAACACAAATCAGTTAAGGGTCTGCTTTCTCCTTGTTTATTCTCCCCATAGAATCAAGAGAAGAAAATAACAAGGACTGGCTACTGTCAAATTTAAATTATGAAACTGGTAATACGTTTCTGAGTGTAAACTAATTTTATGATGTTAGAAATCGGAGACGAAGTGTTCCAAAGAAAAGATTAAGTTTCTGTGGCGGTTCATTCAAATTTTAAAATTTACCGCCCTTTGAACCCTCAAGTGTGGCTGTGTAGCCTATCAATGGCATTTATTAACATTGGTAATACTAATTTGGTATTAAAGCCTATGTAAACCAGAAGGCCATGACTTCTGAGTTAGCTCCATTTTCTATAAAAGGTGAGCCTTTTCACATTTCTATTCAGTTTCCTTAGAGGCCTCCAGTAGGAGGTTCTCTAATAAACTCACCTCTTGTTTTCGTTTATTCTTCAT